AATAGTATCGCATCTGACTCCAGATGAGAAGGTTGCATGTTCAAAGAAATTATGTCAGTCCCAAAGATCAGTGCTGAGGAACCAACTGCATTAAGCAACTTTATGATGCATACATATATCAAGAGAGTGTGAAAATGTTTCCTGTACATATAATGAGGCTTTCAAGCTCTCAAGCAGGTCCAAAAATAACTTGAGAGAACAAATTGAAGTAACAGGCTTTGCTTTTCTTGTGGTGAAGGGGTGGAGCTAAGTAAGAGTTCACAAGCTGAGGCTTGTGTTATTTCTATTTCTTGCCAATACCAAAAAAAAAAAAGAGTTTGCAGACTTTCTCACCATCTTGCCCAGAAGTAAGGCAATAAAGAGAGATGGATGGGAGCTTGAAAGGTGTTAATAATCAAACTCTGCAGATGCTAAAGTAAATTTAGAACCAATCTATGCTATAGAAGTGAAAAAACTCTTTGATGCCCTTTTTATTCGTCTGTTGAATAAAGTTTTAGGCAAACTTTGAATTTTCAACAAGGCCAAATGCCTATATTGTTGTTTTTGTTTGTTTGTTTGTTTTGGGTAGTTACTGGATATACTTTGGGGAGAGGGTTCTGTTTACTCTGCTTATATTTGTTAAGTTTCTTTCTTCAGAGTCTCAAATCGGTATCACCAGGGATAGAGTCCCCCCACCCATGGCAATGGTTGCTGATTAGGCTTAACAACACTCTGGCTTAAAAATTAGGCTTGAATTAAATTATTGACTATGCCATGGGCATTTTCCCCATACTCCTGAGACATAGGATATTTACAGGCACCAGAGGCCTAGGCAACAGCAGTAGCACAGAACTTTGTAGGGTCCTTGTGAGAAATCAGGTTTTGGGAATGTGGAACTCAGTGTTCTACATAGTGACTGATCTTCCTCCACACAAAAGACAATTCAGTGGACATGAACATTGAACCAAGGATCACTCTTACTTCTGAGTTCACTAGAGAATGAGATCAGTTCCTGGGTCAGTCATATAATCAATAGTCACAGAATAAAAGTCATTTCTCCTTAAGGTTGCTCTGAGTTGTGTGTCTTGGCCCATACCTACCTGTTTGTCAGATTGAACTGTGTGTACTGATACTAGAATCTACAGCAGAGTCTTCCTAGGGCTCATCAAATGCAGCAATAAGCAGAATCGCTCAAAACACCAGCTACTCTGCAGGCTCCAACACAGCTCAAAGACCATGTGAGCAAGGCAGAAGACAGCAGTTCCAAGCACAAGTTCACTGACAGGCCACAGAGCCAATTAGCAAACCTGTACAAGAAAATTGTGTGTATAACATGCTCTTTTTAAATATATATAGACTTTAAAATGGCTATATTATGCAAATTAACCTATGCATTACTTCTTATATTTATTATTTCTTCTGTGAGGATCCCCAGACACTTGCCAGCAGCCAGTGCTTTGACACCGACCAGCCCATTCTCTTGAGGAGATTTGAGAGTTTGTCTCCATAGCCACCACAGTCTGTCCCTGGCACCCACAGGTCCATTTCTCCCTCCATGACCAGGAGTAACTCCTCCATGGTTTCCATGCTTTTCTTCCTAAGAAGAAACCAGGAAAAGAGATACTAATTGGATTGCTACAGTCCCCATGAGTCTCCCGTATTTCAGATCATGTTGGGCTGCAACTAATACTCTGACTCTTTCTCTGTTGAGTCTGAATTCCCCTCACCCTCAGCTACCACCTCAGCACATCTCAGGTGTTTACATGGTAGTGGAACCTAAATCTTTATTCCTGAAATATTTGAATACTTGGATATCATTTAATTCCTGGGTTGTTGCATGTATCTATTCAATTACGATTAAACAGTGAAGAGCTGGGAGAAACCCAAGTGGATCATATATGAGGGCCACACATATTTCCCCTTGCCTACATTGTGCAAAAGTAGCCCTAAACAATGACAGAGATCAAACTAGCAAGACCTGGGCTGAGAAAAGGGGAAGAAACAGGCAGAAATAACCTCAGGTCTAACTGTGAAAATATCAACACAGATCCCATATAAAATTTCAAATCAGTTTGCTCTTCCTAGAGAATCTGTAAAAGCAATTTTTACAGGGTCCACACTACTCTTTGCAACTTTGAGTTGAGAAAATGACCTAAATGCACTACATGGCCATTCCTAATCCAATTTCTTCACCTATGAAGTTGGCCTAATGATACCTCCACTGGAGTCTAGTGAATTTTTTAAAGTAGCATAGGTTTATATTATGATTAAATGAATTCTTTTTAACTAGACTGTAAGAATGTGCATTTGAATAATGACCAGCAAAGTCAGGATTATAATTATCTTTACATGGAAAGAGATGAGGATACCATAAGAGAAGGGTTCTAAGAGATTTCAACTGAATTTAGTAATGCTTGATTTCCTAATCTGAGTGCGAATGTATGCTAGTTCATTATTTTATTCTTTATGTAAACCCTTTGGGATATATGGGGTATTATATAGTTTATGAGCAAAAATTAAAATTAGAATTAATAAATAACTGAATCAATGAAAGTCACTTATAGGACTTTCTGACTTTTTTATGATAGGGCATTGGTGGGAGCAGGGTATGGGAGACAAGGGTAGAATTCTGAATTGAATATCTGCTTTGAGAAAACTGGTAACAGAGGGAGGGATGGTTGGAGGGAGGAGTAGCCAATAACAAGGAGCTGAATCATTACCTATTTTAGTAATCTAAGGAGGACTAATAAACTTGCATGGTAGCAGTGGAGTAGAGCCATGATTAAAGAAGCAGAAATCATTGTAAAAGTAGAACAAGCATCCTGCAAAGCATATCAGATGATATGAGGAGCAAAAAAAGAGGACAGTTTGACATAACACTGAGATTCTGAAAATACCTGAGTGAAAAGAAGAAAATGATCTTACTTAAAGTCTGATTTCAAAAATCAATAAGACCTCTGTTAATGTCATAAATTTTCACTACCTTCTACTCTTATGGCTGCACTACTATACAGTGGCTTCTGATACAATGACTGCATGTAATTTTTTAAAAAAAGAATAATACTATTTTAATGGTTTAGAATTATTCTTTGAAAAATAACGGAACCTTAAAGAAAAATTTTTGGAAAGCATATAAAATTTAAAATAAAACATTGAGGTAAAAGGATAAAATTATGAATTGAAAAAGTCAATTAAATAAGTTTCTGATAAAGCCAACAGTCAGGCAAGTTTCAACCAGAGATGGAGACACACTGCCCTGATTATATCATTTTCACTCTTCCTTGGCGATCAACACAGTAAATACTTAAAGAGATAGCCGACAACCAGTAAGTATCCACAGATTAAGTGCCAAGGTTGAGAAACCTTGCTCCAGATCTTTCTGTTTTTAATACCAGATAACTACTGTATTACACAGTTACTTCAGACAATAATTCTTCTTTTCTGCTTTAAACAGTTTGAGTTGTTTCTGATCTAACAGAATTCCTTTCTAATTAACCTCTTTAGTTTTATTCATTCTTTCATGCTCATTCCTGCTCCAATAGCTTTCATCAATCTTTACCATTCTTTCTAAATTTTTTCTCCTTTCTCATAATTTCTTACATTTCTCTTCATAATTATTCCTCCAAAACTTTGAAGTTCGAAACCAGAAATCTTATTTTAGCTATGACTAAAATTAATCTGTATTTTGAGGAGAAATTTAGACTCCTTTACTAATGAACAACACATACAGAGGCTATATGGAAAATTAAATGATACTGTGTATATAGAATGTCCAAATGATAAAGCACAATATTTACTATAGAAGAAGTTCTTCTTCTTCTTCATTTCCCTTTTAAGATATACTCTTATTTTCCTTTTCCATTCACTAAACTTCCTTCTTTCTCCCCAAGTTCTTTTCTTCCTCATCCTTGCTATTTGATTTCCTATCTTCCATTTTCTTTCTTCTCAATATTTTCCATTTCTTGCTTTCCTTCCTCTTCTTTCTTTGAATGATGGGAGTGTGGGAGTCACTCTTGGGTACGAGGAAACTCTGGTAAACAGTCTATACTAGTGAACAGAGGAGGCAGAGGAGCTCTCACTTCTGAACCAGCCAGAGGAAAGATTCAGCAAGCTAAGCCCTCCACAGAAACACCAAGCAAAGTAAGTCATATTTTGTGTGACTCTTGAAATGCATTACAATATATAATATTATTATACTATATTATTAAAGACTGTGGGAATATATGTGTACAATATTACAAAAACAAAAGTATTCCTGGTAACATATAAGTAGACTTTTAAGAAACAAAAATCAAAATTGTGATAAAATTAGAGCTATTATCATTTAAAGAAGCAACTTAGCCATTTCTTCTGTAAAGTAGAAAACTTCTTTTATTAAGCTGAAATTATCCTTCAAATATAGTCACCTACTAATATAAAAAAAGCCTGAACTATTTAAAGATTTTAGATGAAAATGCAATAAATGAATAAAGGTTATAAGACATAGGAACTAAGAATGAAGGTAAGAGAAAATGTTCTACATTATATTTTACTAGGATAAACTTTGGCTAAAGAAGGAAAAATGTTTTTTGTTCCATTTCCAAGAAAATAATCAACTTTTTTATAATCTTCTTTGCATTTATGAATTCTAATCTTTTGTATTTTAAGTAAAGAATGACAATTGAAATAGTAATGCAGAAATTTAGACTCAGAACAATAAACTTAGTTCCATAGGCCACTTGTCCAATATCAAAGTCACAAGATTTTAATATCAATGAATACCAATCAGATATCTGGGCTTTAAAAAATTAAACAAAGACTGCCTACAAAATATACATCACCGGTTTCCCATTATAACATTTTATAGTATTCAGAGATGTGAAAATATATACATGTGATTGTTCCCAATGAGTGATGTAGATGATGTGGATTTCAAGGGATATGATGGTCAGTATAGCAGTTGTGAACTTAACTATGTCTCACCTGATTTTAGTTTAATAGCAATAAGCCCACTTCCTCATTTTACCTTTACGTACATGTAGGTTATCACATGCCGAGCAGCCATTCTCTGGAAAATGAATGCCCCTCTGTCCATTGAGGAGGTCAAAGTTGATTCGCCAAACGCTGGTGAGTTTTGGATTAAGGTAAATACAAATGAGTCTTTTAGACAAGATCAGGTGTGAACTGGTGGTATGGCCATAGATTAAAGGAGTGTCTTATAGGCATGAATACAGACGTGTGTTTGTAATGATTTTATAATTTTAGGAAAACAAATGGCATTTTATCCTTAAAGACTTCCTATGATTTACCAGATCCATATTACCAGTTACTCAGTTGTAGAGCTGGGCAAGCAGAATCATCAGAAAACTTGAAAACAAATTACTAGAGACTATAAAGTCTGAGGAACAAAAATAAAAATGAAGAAAAATGAATTTATCACTGGAGAACTATGGAAGATCGACCATTAAACATAGCAGCATATGAATGATGTACATTTTAAAGGAGAAACAGAGAAGGCAGAAAAATAATGGACACATAATTGCTGAAAACATTTCCAAATAGGCTGAAATTAATCTATACATCCAAGAGACTCAATGCACTCCAAGTAGAAAAAAGCTCAGAAATCCATACCTAGAAATAGCAGAGTCAAAGGCTATGTTGAAAGCCACAGACTCTTCCCAGTATTTCAACAACAAAAATTCATGGACAAATTCACTTTGTGAGAAATCCAGAAATTAATACGAAAGCACATCCAGGGAGAATGTGAAACCAGATTCACTCCAAACTTTTGGGGAGATTTAGGTCATCTTTTAAGAGAGTCTACCCTTGAAACAGCACCATGCTATTTCACAAGAAACCCTTCACTCCCAGGTTCACCAAAGAAGGAAGGGGTTGGTTTACATGTTCAGCTATCCCAAGTTTTCCAAGGAGATTCCCCAGAAGACTGCTTTCTGTCTTTTCTTGTTGAAGCCTTTGATGGGTCCACCAAAATCTAACCACCTGATGGGTAATACCAACAGCATCCCAGGGCTAGAAAATGCTATAGACCTACTCCCTGCTTGGCACAGAGTAAGTGGGTGAAAAAGCCCAGCTTTCAGCTTCCCTCTGGGAAGGGAAAGACTTGATCTATGGCTATGACCTATGCCTACAGCTTCTCTGAACCTTTACAAAACACTGGAATCAGTTTCCCACTCCTGGAGCTTTGACAGGTCCAGTGAAGTTTAGTCTCCTGTGGAGAACCAAGGTGGCAGCTTGTGCTTATAGATAGCACCAGTCTTCCCCGCTTCTCAGCACAGAGTGAACAAACAAACCCCACAACTTCTTGCTCTCCATGGGGTAGGAAAAGAGTTGATAAAGGCCTGCAGATTCTCTATCTTTAGTGATTGGTAAAGTCTTTCTCTGTACAGGGTCAGTCCACAAAGACTTGAAAGAAACCTGCTTTGTCTGACACACAGAAAGCAATGCAGAGAGTCAAGGAAACTTGATAAGGCAAAGATGTACCAGACAAAGCAACAAGATAATTTTCAAGAAATTGACCCTTATGAAATGGAGTTATATAACTTACTTGACAGATAATTTGAAGTAACTCTCATAAAAATGCTCACTGAATTAAAGAGATCAATATATGAACAAAATGAGAATTTCAACAAGGAGATAAAAAAATCATAAAAAGTACCAAGCAGGAATTGTAGAGCTGAAGAATCCAATAACTAAAACATCTAGAAGGAGTCGACAGCAAAGTAGCTCAATCAGAAGAAATGCTCACTGAGCTCACAAAGGCAATTAGAAACACTTAGTCAGAGGAACAAAAAATCCTGAAGAAAAATTAAAAGAAATTATGGGATAGCAATAAGTAGGTGATTTTACAGATATGGAAATCCCAGAAGGGAAAATAAACTAGAAAACTTGCTAAAATATGATTATGTGGGAGGCAGAGAGCAAGAGGATCACAGTTTGGGGCCATAGTAGGCAAAAAGTTAGTGAGACTTCCATCTCAACAATGTTGGGGATGGTGTACAAGTCTGTAGTCCCAGCTCCCCAGGAGGCAAAGGTAGGATGATTGCAGTCCACAGCCAGCCCCAGGCAGAAACAGGCAACCCTATCCAAAAAATAACTAAAGAAAAACAGGATTAGGGACATGGCTCATGTGATAGAGTGCCTACCTAGTAAGTGAAGGCCTTGAGTTCAAACCCCAAGACTGCTAGAAAAATGGAGAAGAGAGGACAGGGAGGGGAGGGGAGGGGACGGGAGAAGAGGAGAGGAGAGGAGAGGAGAAAAGAAAAGAAATCTGGGGAAAGAAATAGAAGAATAGATCCAAGAACACAAAAGACACAAATAAGATGAACTCAAAGATCTGTACTGACACACATTATATCAAACTGTCAGAGAGAGAAAGAGAGAGACTGACAAAAGGGATTAGTCACATACAAGAGAACCTCCATAAAGCTCACTCTTTTTCTACAGAAAAAAGATACATACAGGAGTAGATCTAAACTGTTGCAATAATAATGAAAGTGTACATTTGATTGAACTTACATTGTTAACTTAAAATAGACTATTATAACAATAATAATGTATAAGTCCCAAGGTAAACACACACATGTACACAATACCAATAGAAGTTACACTAAAGAAAAAGAAATCAAAGCACATCAATACAAAGATTAAGCAAAACACAAGGAAGGTAGCATAAGATGAAAAGTTACACTAAAGAACAAAACTGTCTCTGCTATTTGGGAAGCATAACTAGGAGGCTAATGGTCAAGACTGACCTGGTCAAAAATGCAAGATCCTTCCTTCATCTTCCCCACCCACTAGTACCTACCCCCTACACACACACACACACACACACACACACACACATACACACACACACACAGTGCCTATTTGTGGTCCTGGTTTTCATAATTAATATTTGAGTTGGTGTTCAAAGGCATGTCTCATTGTATGCTCGCTGTGGGTATGCTTTGCTTTGGTCTGTTTAATCCCTTTGATTACTCTCCCTGACCCCTTTACCTCTCACACCCCATTTTTCAACACATCCTCATATCCTCTACCTTCACATCTTGTGGTATGTGATATTACTGTTGCTCTATCATTCTTTTTTCTTTTCTTACTTTCCCTGAGTTCCATAGAGTAGTTCCACTGTCACAAACATGTTCTACAACTGAGTTTGTATATATGATCATGCTTGTTTTTGTGTATATGTTTATCGATGGATCTATTTCCACATATGATAGAAAACATGTGTCTTTTGTGTTTCTCATCCTGGCTAAGTTCATTTAACATGGTGTGGACTTCATATACCTATATAAAACAGAAGTAGAAAACCTCTTGCAATTGTTTTAAGTGAGGTGGGGAGAAGACTATTGGGGAGAGACAATGGGGGAATGAAAACAACATACAATATAAGTCTAATCAGAACTGTCAAATGAAACCCCTCTGTATCATGAATATACACTAATAAAATTTATTTTAAAAAAATACAAAATCCTATTCCAAAAATAACCAAAGCAAAAATGGATGAGAGTGAGGCTCACATAATATAGCTCCTTTCTAACAAGTAAGAGGCTCTGAGTTCAAACTCCAGTACTCCAAAAAACTGAACTAGGAGATATGACAATTACAGATACATAAGTAGCTAATGTCATAGCACATAAATACATACTACAAACATTGAAAGAAATGAAGCCAGAAATAGATGACAGTAATTGAGTAGAACTCAATACCTTACTCTCCATAATAGACAGAACATCTAGACATAAAAATCAATTCAGAAACAGCACAACTGAATGACACTACAAATCAACAAATTTATACAGAACATTCCATCCAATAAAAGCCAAATGCTTAGTCTTCTCCAGTGTGCACTGATTATTCTCCAGGATCTGTGACTTATCAAGTTACAAAAACGGTCTTGACAAATTTAAGAAAATTTAAATCATATCAGTGTATTTTCAGACAAAAAAATGGACTAAAGCTAGAAATCAATAACCAGAGAAAACTGGAAAATCACCAATATGCAGAAATTAACATATTCTTGAACAACCATTGAGCCAAAGAAGAAATCAAAGAGGAAGTAAGAAAATATCTTATGACAAATGAAAATGAAAACACAACATACCAAAACTTACGGGATGCAGCAAAAGCAATACTAAGAATTAGATTCATAGCAACAAATGCTTACAATAAAGGAAATAGCCAGGCATGGCAGTGCACACCCAACTACTCGAGAGGTGGAGGCAGAAGGATCAGAAACTCAAATCCAGTTAGGCATTAGCAAAACCCTATCTCAAAAAAAAAAATCAGTAAGTAAAGCAAAACAGCCTAGAGAATAGCTGAAGCAAGTTCAAGGCCCTAGTACAAAAGGAAAGGAAGGGAGGGTAGGAGAAAGGAAGGAGGGAAGGAAGGGAATCCAGCAAACACGTTAGAGCTAATAAATAAAGTTATAGGATACAAAATCAACATTCCAAAAGCAGTTACATTTGAATACACACAACAGTGAACTATCTGAAAAGGAAGTTAGGCAATCAAACACATTTATAATAGCACAAAAAACTGTCAAGTACCTAGGAACCAACTTAACTAAGAGAGTAAAAGATTTGTATACTAAAAACTGCAAAGCATTTAAAAAATTAAATGAGGCACAAACAAATGAAAAAATAGCCTATGTTCATGGATTGGGAGACTTAATATGGATAAAATGTCCACACTGCCCAAAGTCATTTACAGAGTCTATGCAACCCTATCAATATTCCAGTGTCATTCTTTTTAAATAAGACAAAAAATTTAAAAATTTACATGTAACACAAGACTGCAAATAGTTAATGCAATCTTGAAAAACAACAAAACTGGAGGAATCTTACTTCCTGGTGCCAAAATAGACTACAAATATACAGTAATCACAATGTGGTGCTGATATAATGACAGACATACAAATTAATGGAACAGAATAGAGACCAGAAGTAAACCAATACATATACAGTAAACTGGACTTTGATGAGGGGGCCAAGAACATACAGTGAAGAAAGATAGTCTCTTCAATAAACAGTGTGGGGAAAATTAGATATCCACATTCAACAGAATAAAACTGGACAGTATTTCATAAAATAACAAAAGAAACAACTCAAAATGGATTAAACACTTGAACATAAGACCTGAAATGTAAAACTACGGGAAGGAAACACAGAGAAAACTTCAACACTGCTCTTGGCAATGATTTCATGAACATGACACCAAAAACTGCTTCTTTGCCTTTGGGTAAGAGCAAGGGTAAAAGTAGACAAATATTGCAAATAACTAATAGGTGTGGCAAAAAGTGACTAATTATTAGGGAAATGCAAATTAAAACTGCATGAGGTATTACATCACATCTGTTAGGAGGGCTATTATCCAAAAAACGAAAGATATTAATTATTAGCAAGTTTACAGGGAAATTGGAAACCCTTGCATACTATGGGAATTCAAAATTATGTACCCACAATAAAAGTAGTATGGAAATTCCTCAAAAATTAAACCAAGCAGTACTATATGATGCAGAAATACCACTTCTGGATATTTATCCAAAATATTGAAATAAGTATGTCAAAAGGTATTTGCAGTCCTCTGACTATTGCAGCACTATTCACAATAGCCTAGCTGTGGAAACAACTTAGGTAACAATCAACAGATGAATAAAGTTGCTACACACACATATATACAGATATATGTGTACTATTTAGCTATTAAAATGAAGGAAACTATCATCTGGGATAACACATATGAGTGTTGAAAACATTCTGCTAAGTAAAATAAGTCAGTCACTGAAAGACAAATAATGTACGAGTCTAGTTATATATGTTATCTGAAATAACCATAAACACAAAACCAACAACTAGAAAGTGATTTCTAGAGCTAGGAAGAAGAGAAAAATAAGTTTAATCAGCCAGCATAAAGTTTCAGTTAAGCAAGTCAACACTATTTATTGAACAGACTGTCTTTTCTCCATTGTATATTCTTACTTCATTTAAGCCAGAGTTAATAAACTAGAGATCTATTGTGTCTTATTGTACCTAAAGTCACATAATGTATTATATGTTTAAAAGTTTATTAAGAGAACCAACTCATATTAAGTATTTTTGCCACAACATAATAAAATAAAAAGACAAAGGCAAAGAGAAAAATCTTGAAAGCACAAAAGAAAAATAATATAACACATACAAGGGAACCCAGGTAAGACTAACAATTGACGACATCAAAAACAATATGATTCAGAGGTCAATATAATGACATATTCAAAGTAGTTAAAAAACTTACCATGAAAGCCTTGTGTTTTAGCCTCTTCTGCTGGCAGGCAGAGGAAATGCATGGAGAGAATCCAAGACATTATCACCCACAGCTTCCTCCCATTTGAGTACATGTATCAAAACAGACCCTGAAGTTCCTGTTGGTTGCTTTATCACAAGTCACAGAATATAAAACTCTTCTTGGTAAACAGCCACAAAATCATTTAGTGGTGTTTGTGATACTAAAGTGGTTCAGGAAAAATTATAAAGACAAAGACAAACTAATCACTTTGGTCTTTCGTTTTCTCAAGTAGCTGTACTTTTATATGGACACAATAGCACATTAAATGTTTAGCCCAAGCTTTGATGAATATATTCTGTCTCTGGACTTGGAAATGTGACATTTTCTGAAATATTCAATAGTTTTATGACAAGGCATTTTTGTATTGTTGTGTTGGGTAGGCGATACATTGTAGCACTTACAAAAGTTCATATAATATAGCAAATATATCATATTTGAGTTCACCCCCTCCATCATTCTGCTTTATCCTCCCCTCCCCTCATTCCTGGAATAGTTTCAACACTTATCTTTTTTCACTCACATGCATGTGTACACAGTATCTGCACAATATTCACCCTCCCACACCTTTTCCCACCTCCTCCCTGCCACCACTGGTACAAATCTCCCCCTACCTTTCCAGGCAGGACCTGTTCTGTCCTCCTGTTCTACAATTGTGTAAAAGAAAAAAATGAGGTTTTGTTTGTTTAACATAGCTACATAGGGAGTTTCAACAAGGCATTTTATTTTTCAGTCATTTAATCCCCTTTCAGATTATATCATCTGGACTCTGTGGTACTGATATGCACATTCTGGAAGGGAAAAACGAAGTACAGTTTCCTGTGATTTTTGGGCCACGAGGGAGCTGGAGTTGTAGAGAGTATTGGAGAAGGTGTAAACAGTGTGAAGCCAGGTAGGTGAATGGGCAAAATATGGAGTCAACTCCTTTCCCAATTCAGTCTCTTATTCTTCAAAGGTACCATAAAGAGAGCAGAACGTCATCATGTATTGACAAAACATTACATTGCATGAACACACCAGATACAGTTCAAGAGGTAGGCAGCTTAAGATTCAGAGTCCTGGGTTGGGGATATAGTTCATTTGCCTTTTATGTTTAGGACCCTGAGTTCAATCCCCAGAACTGCAACAACAACAACAAAAAGTCTGATTCTTCTAATTTTGTGTTTGACAGAAAGGACTAAAGGGAAAAGAATAATTCTCTACTCAATTTTGTTAAGATTACCTCAAGTCTATCTATCTCCCCAAAATTAAACTAAAAATTATAAATATATATATAATATATCATAATTTAAAATATGTACAATTAAGAAACGGTATCCGTACACACACACGATAATCCTTTAAATTGTCTGCAGTAGGCATCATCTGTAGTAGTTTCCTCCAGATTTGTATTTATTTTTTCCACATTGCATACATTCATATTTCAAACACTTAATAATATTGCATGGTAGTCTAACAAGAATCTATGTCATAGATATTTTATGCATAATTTATGTTGGGGAAATATAAGCTCTGGCAAAATAAGTGATCTAATTCAGTTTATTTAGTTACTTAATGACAGAACCAGAATGAAGGACACAGGGTACCTTTCCTCAAATTTAGACTCTTGTTTAGTAATATACTATCTCATAAAGAGTATTAATTCTAGTGTTAACACTGGTGTATTAATTCATTCTTTTAACAAATATTGAAGTATATACTAAATGCAAACTCTGCCTTTCTCCTGGGATAGAACATTGGCTAAAATAGACAAGCTTTATATACCACAAATATGGATGTCACTCTTAGATATAGTTTTCTCTTACTTCAATGTTAGTAGAAACTCATTGCTACTAGTTACATAAATTTCCAAATTCTTTTGGGAAGGTCCATTTATATTAAAGTTGATTTTATTTTCTTTCCAAAATGAAATGATAACTAACCTCAAAAATAATAACTTTCATTATAACAAATTGATCACATCTTCTATAAAAATTTTTTTGTCTTGTAAACATGATCTTATTTGTATTTCATATTTCTGCCCAGGCTGGTTATCACTTTCTTTGTTCTTTTTCCTTAGGAGATAAAGTCCTAATGTTCCCTCTTCCACAGTGCAGAGAATGTAGCTCTTGCTTGCATCCCAAGGGAAACTTGTGCTTGAAGGAAAAGTTAGTTTCCATTTCTTTGACTAAGTTCACTCATTTTTTTTCACTTGGTATAGGTATTGATGCAAAGCTAACATGCCTTATATCTTTTTTGTCACTTTTTGTATCTGTGGAACAGTATGATATCTCCAACTGGATTACTGTTAGATGGAACCAGCAGATTTACCTGCAGAGGAAGGAATATTTATAATCTTTATGGCACCAGCACATTCACTGAATACACCACACCGTGGTACATGAAATCGCAGTGGGGAAAATCGATGATGCCACTCCTATGGATAAAGTCTGTATCATGAGCTGTGAGGTGCCTACAGGCTTTGGAGCTGTGTTTAACACAGCAAAGGTAAGGGTGGACTTCAGTGCATTTTCAGTGACTAGCCACACAACAGCAAACCTGGAACCATGTAGTCAGAGAGTTCCTCCCATCACTGATAAAATCAAAGGGATTTTTTTCTTTCCTAACAGTCAGCTTCAGATACCTAACAGAAGCTTCTCCTCTGGGTTTACAGGTCACCCCCGGTTCTACTTGTGTGGTTTTTGGACTTGGAGGAATTGGCTCAGCCATTGTCATTGGCTGCAAAGCCTCTGGCGCCTCTAGGATCCTCCCGGTTGACATCAATGAGAAAAAGTTTCCCCGGGCAAGAGATTGCCTCAACCCTCAGAACCTTGAGAAGCCTGTCCAGGAGGTGGTGAAAGAAATGACAGGCATTGGTGCTGACTTTGCCTTCAAAGCCACTGGGCTTATTGATACAATGGTGTGTGGTCTTGGGGCTCAGTGAGGGGTTGTTGCCTGTTAACATGCAGGTACACATTAAATTAATTTCGTAAGGACATAAAATTACTATAATTTTATTTTTGTTTTGTTTGGGGGGCATCAGAGATTTTTAGTGCTAAGCACACACTCTTTCACTGAGCTACATCCCTAGCCCTGATGAAATTCTATAATTTTTAAACTAGCATTTTAAGCATGCCTTATGTAACTTTCAGTGTGTTGAGCTTTTAACATACTTTATCCCATCTAATTTGTATTTTATATCATCCTTACAGTTTAAGTAGTGACAGTATCATTATTTTAAAGACTGAAAAAGTTAATCATACGAATTTAAGCAATTTGCTCACAATCTGATATAAGTGTAATATACACTATTCCATTATATATTCATTCTCCAGTATTCCTTCCCTGAGAATATGTCTTGGGATTTGAGTCTGAAAATGGGAAGCAACTGAGAGACTAATCAGTCTGTTTCTGCTATTAGGTTGCAGCTTTGGAATCTATGGAGTTTGTGTGAGTATTGGAGCATCACCCACAAATTTAAAACTCTCCTTTGACAAAATGCTGATTCTCTCTGGGAGAACTCTCAAAGGTGCCATGATGGGAGGTAGGTCTTTCAATTTTCTTTTGCCTTTGCCATAAACCTAGATACTCTGCATGTTCCTTGGCAAGAAATGAAGGTGAGGGAGTTAGGATAAAGCAATACTGTATGAAAGGAGATAAAAGACAGAGTGTCAAAAATAGAAAAGCATATCACATAGGTGTTTGTTTACTGGAAGAGCAAAAAAGTTGAAGAGTTTAATGTGACTTATAAGATGTAGAAGAGTCCCATTTTAGGTGCCCTGATAGTCCATAATGGATAGAAGCCATGATACACCTTTGGACCACTCCCCAGTACAGAATAAGACTAGAAGAAAATATCACTGTGCTGACCCCGGATTCTAACCTTAAAAATTACCATAATTTGCTATTTAAGAAAAAAGTAGACAACTAATGTGGGGACAAATTTGAATCTCCTTTTCCCAAATTCCTCCAAATTCCACACCCATTCCTCCTACTCACACCCAGTATGTTTCTAGAACTCCACTGCCAAAGAGAAATTTTTGCAACAATGAAAATGTTCTATTGGTGTTGTGTCCCTAGCAGTAGCCACTGGCCACATGTGACTACTGAACACTCAAAGGGTGCCGAAAAGGGTGCCAGTTGAGGCTGGAAGGCCATATTTCTATAATGTTTAATTTTACTTATTTAAATTTAAATGGCCATATATGACTAGTTATATATATGACTCATATATATATTTACTTATATATAATTATACATATAATTATGTACAAATATAATTATGATTATAGAATTATATACTTATATAATATAAAATATAATTATAATTACTATTATATAATTATATACTTTATATATTATAATACAATACAATTATATGTATATGATTGTATAATAATTGTTATATGATGCATTATATATTATATATTAGAGTCATATACTTATATATATATATATATATAATTGTTATATGATGCATTATATATTATATATTAGAGTCATATACTTATATATATATATATATATATATATATATATAAAAGTATATACCTTATTAGACAGCACAGATGAGACTATCTTGTTCTCTGGCTTTAGCTGGAATGTTCAAATAAGATAACTTAATTTGAGGGAACTATGGTATGGAGGTTAAAAACATGTTTTTTGCTGTCAGATTACTAAATGTGCATGTGTCCTTAAGTTATTTAAATGCCATAATTCTTAACCACATCTTCTGAAAAATAGGTCAAACAATAATTTCTTATAAAATATAGTGAGAAGTAAATGAGAAAAAAATACAAGTAAAGCATTGGGCAAATAAGTTGACATAAAATAGACACAAAATAAGTGTTTGACTGAAGCGATAGCAATAATGGCAACAGTAGCACATTGGCCCAGACAAAAGATAAGAAGGAAGCCACACATATTGCAAAGATGACTGAAGGGATTTTGGGCCTTATTATTTTGAAATATCTGGATTTCCTTTCATTTACTCATTTGTGCAGCTTTGTATAAGTTGATTGAATATAATTAAAATTGAATTGGGACTTAGTTATGAAAATGCTAGAGAAAATATACAGAAAAATAGGTTTGCCATTGGCCAACTTTTCATTGTAAAAGTTTCTTCTTTCAAAAACTCAAGATGCTTGAATTTTCCAACTTGAGTAAATCTCAATTTAAAAATTAAGCACTGTTTTTAGTTGGTCTGATGATGACAATGACTAAGCATAATTGGGATTGATTTTTCCTCATGGTCACCATCTGTATTAGTTCATTTTCTTTCACTACCAAAAACCATGAGCTGAGCATGGTAGCTTAGCCAGAGATAGGGAGGATTATGGCCAGCTGGGGCAAAAGTTCACAAGACCCCATTTCAACAAGTAGAAATCAGATTTGGTAGTATATGTCATCCCAGCTACCCAGGAAGCATAAAAGGAGGATTATAGTCCAGGCTGGCCAGAGTATAAACGCAAGACCTATCTCAAAAATAAACAACACGAAAAGGTCTGAGGGTGTGGTTCAAAGGGTACAGTGCCTGCCTATCAAGAATAAGGCCCCAACTTCAAACCCCACTAATGCCAAAATTAATTAATGAATTAAAAATAAAGTGAGGCTGAGTAACATTTTTTTAAAGGAGGTTTGTTTGGCTCACGGTTCTGGTCCAAGTTGAGGGCCTATATCTGGTGTTGGCCTTTGCACTGGCAGAATCCCAAGGCAGACTAGGGTATTACATGGCAAGAAATAAGGGACACATATGCATATGTCTTCTGGTGTTTTCTCCTCATCTTATAAAGCCACCAGTATTCATCAATTAAAGTGGTAGCCTCCACCTTAATGACCTTGTGGAATCCTAAGAAGTTCCCAAGTCTCCATCTCTAAACACTATAATCAGATGAAGTTGCTGCTGTCTTGATACCGCACACAGGGAATTAAATTTCAATTCATTAACCCATGAGGGACATACTCAAACAAAGCCCAAGCTATAGTGTCATCCTTACCTTCATTAGAGGAAATTTATTCACATCTTCTAATAGTCCTCATCATGTACTTGCCATACCTCCTTGCTCCTCACTATATGTAAACACATTTGGGAAAATCACTGGAAGGTTCTCATTCTGGATGGAAAAAGCTCTGATGGTCTATTCCTTTTACTCACTTTCATGTGAAGGTTAGTTTTGCCACTTTCTAGATGTCCTTTAGCATTTTAAATTATACCCAAGACTTGCTTTAATCCAGTAAGATAAGATGACAGACTCATGGACAGCAGCTCTGAAAGAAGAGCCTAAGAGGAAGACCACACAAGGAAGCACCAGGATTAGTTAGGAGGCAGAAGGAATGAAGTGGAAAGGCCAGAGCTTCTCTGTGATTTTATACAGGAACAAACAGACAATGCATGTTAGGCAAACTGCATGAGTTTAAAATCATAGTTTGAATAATTTCCATGGGTACTGACCACATGGGTGGTCCCTAGTTATCTAGTAACAGACCTTGAGGTGATTTAAGACGGGACACTGGCCCGCTGTCCATGTCTGAGTGGGAAGATGTTGGAGGTAGGTACCTGGTGTTGGTTGGTTTGTATACTGAAGCTGAGCTCCTAGGCAAGGTGTTTGCTATCTCTAGGAATTAGTTAACCTTGTTCCTCCGCTTGTCTAAAGGGGTCTCCACTAGGCCAAAAGTGTTAAAGCATTATGAAATATAGAAAAGTGAAAAACACAACTGATACAATCAGTAATAAAAAATTTAAACTCTCTAAACCCCAGCCCCACAAAGTTATAAAAATGGGGGAAACAGCCCTATGTCTGCTTTACTCTTGGTGATGAAATAGTAAATGGGATCGAGGCAGGTACCAATAGCACCTATTACAACTACTCTACTGTACCACCCTCCAAAAGACTCATACCAAATTGGATATATTTCTGATGTTGTAATGCTAGGTTTATGAAGCAGATATATCTTGAGCCTTACATGGAGGGAGTCAGGTCACTCACATAAACCAGCTGGAGGGTGGTAAGTGGACACAAAGGAGAGCTGTGGGCTGGTGAGCTATGATCATGACAGCATCAAGTCTGCTCCCACAGTCCACTAGGCTCACACATCTAGGGATCCTATGACTCTGGGTGACCTTAATACTTGTGAGCAACAACTGGATTCTGCTATGCAATAAATTGCTTGCATTGATACTTAGGAAAAGGATCAAAGGGTGAATAGTCTTTATAAATTTTATACATAAATGGGTCATTGGATTTCTTTGGTTAGTTTTGATATTTTTCAGGTACTATTACTTTTGTCATTTTCTTCTGCAGAGTATAAAACTAGAGATTCTATTCCCAAAATGATAACTGACTACATAAACAAAAACATTAATGACCCACTTATAACCCCTAAGTTGCCTTTTGAAAAAATCAATGAGGCACTTGAGTTGTTCAAATATGAAACTGGTGAGTATTTTTGTGTGTGTGATGTGTGTGTACAATGTGTCTTTGTGAAGTATCATGCATATGACATACTAACAAGGATTCATACATAGGAATCCAGAATCTTTGAAAACTGAGAGGGCTCAGACCAAGTGTGAAAGTAGGCAACTGTGGGAAAAGTTTTAGGGAGCAGCAACAAAAGTGCTTTGAATCCACTGAGAGGAAATGCAAAAGTTGAAATGATTACTTCAACTTCAAGCAAGGGAGAACATTTATTTATGGATGGTCATGTTTTTAGAGTTTAAAAGCACATAGAAAGAACAGAAAAGCTGCCATTTCTGCTATTCACATCAGCTATCACTAACAAGTTGTGACTACAAATGAACCTCAGATATTAAACAGTGATCTTCCCCACCTTGAAACCTAATTCCAGAACTTGACTGTGGGCGAAGGTATTTCATCAACTTAGTGCTAAAGACTTCACACAATTTAGACGGCTGAAGTGAACTATCTGAAAATGTTGCTTTTTAAGTTTAATATGTGAGCATTGGGTTGACAATTACTTATAATTTAAGAAAATTATACTTTGGCATCAATGCTAAGAAAAAAAATTAACCTTGTTGTTACACTAAGGTTCTTCACTCCCCCAAACCCTGCCCCTCAAAGGATGATATAAAGCTTTCCTATCTCTGAACATTCACAGTAGTTCCTCATCCTGGGCCTCATCCCTGCCCATACCCCACCTCAACCAAATTCCGTGTCTCTTTAGCTCATACACATTGTCCAAAGTACACTGTAGCCAGGCCTTCAAGCTCCCAGAATTCTAGAATGCGTATAGTCCCTCTCTGCTCCCATTTCACCCTCTGCTTGTATTTTTTTTTGTAGTAGTGGGATTTGAACCCAGGGCTTCATCCTTGCTGGACAGGCACTCTACCACTTGAGCCACATCTCCAGTCCCTGTCTGATGAATTGTTGTATATCATATTTTTAATTACAGCTGCATTATCAAGTAAAATTCCTCAAATATGGAAGTTAATTAGTAAAAAAATTATTTAAATGAGTGGATAAATAGTACATTAATGAGCAAAATTCTCCATATAAATGCATTGAGAGTAGATTTAGAATACTGCACACATCTACGGAATTCACCAATCAATATACAGTGCCCAATATATGTTACTCTTGCTGATGGAATTTGGTTTGACCACTATTAAGGGGATAATACCACAGGAGATGAGGAATAAAAGAAGGAGATACTGACATATGAAAAAGGATATGATTATTGGCCTCAGGCGGCCATTTATAATTATTAAACAGAAAGGAAGTCTGGAAATCCTCTGATTCCCAGGAGACCAGTGAGTGGCGATCCAAAGAGTGAGCAGAAATGACAGAGGGAGCCCTAGAACTCTACCTTATTGTCTCTGCTTCATATTGTTAAAATAGATCCTAAGATTGCCAGTTTCCTAGTGGACTTGATTCTAGAGACATTTAAAGGAAGGGGCAGGAATGAAAGTAGAGATAAGAAGTGGGGATGAGTGGATAATTCTGTCTCCTACAATAATAATTGAAGTACCTGGATTTGTAAAAAGGGTTGCTTCAATATTTGAACTCTTTGTGTTTCAGCATCTGTTGTGTTCTCTCATTTTGAGATCGCAATGAAGACGGAGCATGAGTGTCCTCAGCAAAGCTCCTCTGTGCTCTTCACCTCTTTCATTGACTTCATTGCAATACTTAGAAACAAAAATTGGAAAGAGGATACTTCCAGAATTTTAAGAAATGAAACTATTGTAATAAAATTAATTCTTCTGAGACTTATGCTTACTTTTTATTCATTTATTCACATGTGCATACATGATTTGGGTCATTTCTCCCCTCTGCCCCAGCCCTCACACTCTCCCCCCAACCCCTCTCGATTGAGACTTATGTTTTTATTTCAGTCTAATTTTTGAAGAGAAGCAGGAATTCATTTCTGATGGAATGAGGTTTTTATCTATATTTATTAAAACCTTATAGTATGGTATTCTTCTCCATCATCTTATCTGTTGCTGTGATATGTTGCCTTTTTGGACAAGTATAAGGAGGTGGACTGACTGATCTTTGAGTATGAGCTTGACATGGATTGGGACAAAGTATCCTAGTTGCATGGTATGGAAGGCGATTGCTAACTATGCTTCAAAAGTACTAAAACTATCTGACCTTAATCTTAAAATCCTTTTCTATTTCTCCTCCATATGCTGCCTTTCACAGGGTAGGCCTACAGTCTTGGAGTGAACCTCAGCCATTCCCTTTCCCTACTTCATTTCCTCAGTTTATGAGTGAATAGGTAAATGCCATATCGATTGCTGATTTCATCTTGTATGAAACTGGCTACAGTTTTAAGATACTAATTCTGTCAACTAAAAATGGAATGAAAGAAGAGTATTTGGCAGGATTCAAGCAAAAAAAAATCACCATTTAAAATCCTAAACAATAGTGTGGAAACAAGGATAACAAAGAGATAGATCTATTTTGACTAAAAACTACATTACATAAAAAACATTACTGGTTTGAAAGTTAAATAAATGCAAAATAATATTCAACACACATCCTGTTAAGTGCACATTTGAGCTTCAACAAGTTTGTTTACTGTGGTGACAGAACTAGGAAAAAGGAAGCCTACTATATGGCAGAAAGAAAGCTTTTAGATAATAACTCACAAAACACCACAGAAAATTGTCATCCAACTCCTTTCTATGCCAGCAAAGTCTGGTGGGGAGTGGCTTAGATATTAGACCTCACTTCTACTAACCCCACTTACCATGGTGCTGTCAGAGAAGACCAAGGATCTGGGAATTTCAACCCCACAAGGTAGTAATAAGCTCTATCCCGTAATGTGTGGAATCTGAACTTCCTTGACCATCCAGCAATAACAAGGTGCCACAGCCCCCTCCTGGATGACATGGTGTTAGGAGAGGCCTATTGAAAATTCAGAATTTTTATCACAACTCAGTAATAATAAAGCCACTCCAACCCCCAACCTATGCCCCACTCCCATGTTAGTAGAAGCCCTGTGGTTAGCAGTAAGAATGTATCCCCACATCTCAGAACCAGGGAGGATTTAGTGAAAGCCTAGTGTGAATTATATTTCCTATATCTGGTCAGAAATAATGAAAACTCCCCTCAGGTAGTGACAAAGGCAGAGTTGAACACCTAAATAACTACCCTACTTGACAATAATAAGGCAGTATTGCTTTCCTCTGCCAGAGCAGGTAGTTTTCCAAAGAGGATTGAGGAAATAGAACCAGCTAAGACAGGGCTTCCTGGAGTCAGAACATTTCTAGAACATGTACCTCAAAACATTCCATTCAAAGGAGACCAAATTGAATTAGATCCATCCATGGAGCAATTTATGTAGAGGGGTTTTGTTGAAAACAGTAGAGCAATTGATCAGCCATTAGTGGAGCCTAACAGCTGCGTGTCATCAGGGAAAAAGACAAAGTCACAGCCAAACCACTATCATCTTAGTATGAAAACAAGCATACCCAAGCCTTCAACCTTTGTGCGGCAACATAGGCTTCATGGGGGGGGGGGTGGTAAGTGGGACAGACTTTACTAAAATAAGATACCCAGTTTCTAAAAATATAAGCAAGCAAATACCAATAACAATGCCCGTCAATATACAGTGTCATTAGAAAACATTATCTAGAATTTCAAGCTCCCTATAAAGAAATGCTCTGACAAGGAGCATGCATTCTGATCCATATACCAGAGAAAAAGCAGACAACAAAAGAGAAAAGGTTAGATCAAGAAGAATTAACTTAGAAGGTAACACACATGCACAGGAAATTAGTGTGAGTCAACTCCTTGTATAGCTATCCTTATCTCAACTAGCGAAAACCCTTGTTCCTTCCTATTATTGCTTATACTCTCTCTTCAACAAAATTAGAGATAAGGGCAAAATAGTTTCTGCCAGGTATCAAGGGGGGTGGGTGATAAGGGAGGGGGTGGGGGGAGGGGGGAGAAATGACCCAAACATTGTATGCACGTATGAATAAAAAAAAAACTACTTGTTAGAGTGACCAGACGTCAGATGTAACGAACAATCTAAGTAGCCATTGTAAATATTTTGGAACACTACAGAAAATCACTCATTTTAGCATTCCTTTTCATGTAATTGATAATCTAGAAATTCTTGCTGTCAACTAATTAGTAAGTGATCTTCCTTCTCATTCTTCTCTAATACTTTATTTTTCTGTAATCTCTCTTTTCCCTTTTCATCCATTGCCTGTCTTCAAACTGCTTTTCTTCTCACTTACCATCTTTGCTCTTGGTCTTGTCCTTTACCACCCTCTCCTGTTAGGTCACATTCCTTTCTCTCTTTTACTTTCAATTATACTCAACACTTCATATCTCTCATTCTCCCTATGTTGATGTGAAATTATTTAATAAATTTTAATGTCATTCAGTTTGTGAACACTATACTCAGACCAGTTTGACGTGCTGCGGAGTCAAAGACATTCATTCAGATACACCCATAAAGCACACAGGAAACTAGAAATTCATCATGAACACCTCAGGAAAAGTACGTTACATTTAAAAAATATAGAGAGATATAAAAATAGATATCATCTATCTTCTATAAACATATATATAACTTTTTATGTATATCATTGAGATATATATGTGTATACATCATCATTAGATATCAAACAAGTGTGCATGGAAATAAAATTAAGACCTTGTTTTCTCCAATCAGATTATCAACTATTTTTAGTGATAATATCCAGTGTTTCTGGAGTTATGGAAACACATGTACCACTGATAGGAAATAATTTGCTGGAAACATTTTGGGTAATTGTATCAAAAGCTTTGATAATTTGTCTATCATACGGAAGTTTATTTCAATAAAATAATTACATATGTTTTTAAGAGGCTAATAGTAGTATTATGTTAGAGTGTAACATTGGGAATAACATATATCAAAAATACTAGGAAACTAGTAAGTTAAGGTATATTAGTTAACTAGGTCCTAAGTGGTCATTAAA